TCCATTCTTGTATCATTACAAAATCCTTTAGTCCAAACACCAAGAGACCAACATCTAAAGAATAGCCAGAATCCTCTCTTTCTTTCTTCCTAGTGTCTGAGGTTGTTCTAAGCACAATCCTCTGACCTTTAGCCTTGCATGTGTTGATCTGTTGTATATGTTAAATAGCATATTTTGTACATCACACAGTTATTTCAGAATATATGTTGTTTTTGTATGTATTAAAATATAAAAATGCTATTGCTAAAGAAGAAGTATATTTAAGTGGTATTTTACGTGGAGCAACAACTAAAACAGTAAAAATTTAAAAGCTAACAAATATTTTACTGTTTTTAAAAATTAGTTAATAAAAATAAATTTAAAAAACTCCTTTGTGTTTTCTTTTTTTAAATTCCCAGATCAACATAAAATCAGAAAACTGTGCCTATTAAATAAGATGTATTGAATTCTTTCCAATACTAAAGGGTGTCCCGGAACTCTCTACCAAAATTTTAGAGCATTGTTCCTGAGTAAGAAACATATCTAAAAACCATATTTAAATTGTCCGGAAGTTCTAAGTTACTCACACTGCAGCCATTTGTTTATTTATTTATTCATGTTTCCCTAAAGAATGGTTAAACATACGAAATAGAAACTTTGCATAAAGCCGGGTTTACACGATGCCAGTTGGCAAGACAATTGTCTTTGCCAATTGGCATCACGTGGTTTTGGAATTGTCGTAGGCCAGGCAAGTTGAACGATAACCTGTTCACACGTGGCCAACACTTGCCCACGCATTTTACAGTGAACCAGGGTACTACTGCTAAAAGACAAGACAGTGCTATTGGCCTCTACACCGTTTACACGGTGCCAATTGTCATGACAACTGGGTTTTCGAGGGGTGGGGGCCTCACTGGGCCCAGCTCATTGTCCTCAGCCTACTCCCGGAGACAACTGAATTTCGGGACAGTTGGCGGGACAATTGGCTTGCCAATTGGCCTGAAGTGTTTACACGAAGCCAGTAATTCCAAGCCAGTCAGTTGTCTCCTGGCAATTGTCTCGCCAACTGGCATCGTGTAAACCCGGCTTAAGGATTAATGACAACTAGACAAAGCTAGAAAAGAATTATGAAAATTTTTAAAATTCATAAAACAAAATGGCGGCCATTTAAAGATTTTTTTCTTTAATAACTCAAAAACCATTGGTTTTACAAAAACTGTATAAGCAGGATAACTTTTTAAGGTGATTTTATTACAAATCGATTGACATCTTAAGCCGGGTTTACACGATGCCAGTTGGCGAGACAATTGCCAGGAGACAACTGACTGGCTTGGAATTACTGGCTTCGTGTAAACACTTCAGGCCAATTGGCAAGCCAATTGGCCCGCCAACTGTCCCGAAATTCAGTTGTGTCCGGGAGTAGACTGAGGACAATGAGCTGGGCCCAGTGAGGCCCCCACCAGCCCCCACCCCTCGAAAACCCAGTTGTCGTGACAATTGGTGCCGTGTAAACGGTGTAGAGGCCAATAGCTCTGTCTTGTCTTTTGGCAGTAGTACCCTGGTTCACTGTAAAATGTATGGGAAAGTGTTGGCCACGTGTGAACAGGTTCTCGTTCAACTTGCCTGGCCTACGACAATTCCAAAACCACGTGATGCCAATTGGCAAAGACAATTGTCTCGCCAGCTGGCATCGTGTAAACCCGGCTTTATTTTTTAAGATTGGACGAATATTAACTGAGATATGGCAGATTTAGTAAGTTTAGTTGCCGCTGGACGTTAGTTGCAGCGCATGCTGGAAGCGGTCATGTATCACTAAATCTGCCATATCTCAGTTAATATTCGTCCAATCTTGAAAAATAAGAACTAAATCGATTTGTTATAAATTACCTTAAAGAGTTATTCTTGTAAAATTGTTGTAAAGCCAACGGTTTTTGAGTTATTTAAGAAACAAGATTTTAAATGGCCACTATTTTGCTTCATGAATTTGAAAAATTTTTATAATTTTTTTCTAGCTTTGTCTAGTTGTCATAAATGTTTGTGCATGGTTTCAATTTTGTATGAAGAATTTAACATTCTTAAAAAGAAAATTAATAAGTAAAAAAACAAAATGGCGGCTGTGTGAGTAACTTAGGACTTCCGGACAATTAAAATATGGAATTTAGATGTTTCTTACTCAGGAACAATGTTCTAAAATTTTGGTAGAGAGTTTCGGGACACCCTGTATATATTATTTCTACCGGACCTATAAATTTTAATATTGGATTTTAACCAGACTATGTAACGTATGCTGTGTAAGCCAGATTCAAGGTACAAGTAGGCTAATGAGTGGTCACATGTAGGGTTAGCCATGTTACTACAGGTGGAGCACCTAGTGGGAGGTTGACAAACTACCCGACCCCCCCCCCCCCCCCTTCCGCCACATCGCTCATCCACCCCATTACTCTCATATAATGACTACATTTGGCCCTGCCTGGGCTTGTCATTAATGACTTCCATCAATTGTCCTTACCTGTTCAAACAGTGTGTCTCCAGCAAACATAGTGAATTATTTTTGCGGCTAAGAGTTTTAAAAATAAACACTTCAGATATTATGTAATCATTTATTGTATTTATGTCACAAATTTGATTAGTGTGTAGAGTTAATTTGTTAGTTGTAAACCAACTAAGTGACTATAGTTCAGCCGCTTAGAAAGCGACCTGCACGCTAATGCTAACCAATGCTTTCTAAGCGGCCGAATTATAGTAGCTGTGCTTGGTATAAACTAGAATTTTAAAAGTTGCTCAAAAAAGCAGTTTATGACATTTGTCAATAATTATACTTACATTCTCAAACAGTGATTCTCCAACAAACAGTGAATAAAGAAGTGTGAATAACAGTTAAATATTAAAACTTGATATGTAAAATCTTAGTTGTTTCCAGGACCATAATTTTTTGTGACTAGTAAAATGACTATTAGTAGCGGTTCTAGGACCTTGTCAAGGGGGGGGGGGGAGCTGGAGGTGTTCCACACCCCCAAGAAAGAAGGGGGTCATCCCCCACAAAGTTTAGTATTTTTAAAGCTGTTTGGTGGCTTTCTAATGACATTTTTAAAGTCTAGAACTGATTTAAGTCTAAAAACCTCATGTTACATTTTGACAGAATTTTTTTTTCCTAGGGTTTGGTGGGAAAAATTGCCATGGCATCTCAAGAAAATTTTTTGAAATTTAGATTTTTAATGGTGATTTTTTCATAAATAAACCTCATAACATAATGAAAACTGAATTTTCACAAAAACAGCCAGAACGATTCTGGACAACATTTAGTATGTTAGTCCTTATAATTGTAAAGTAACGGTACAACCCCCCATTGCTATAAACCAGTGTTTCCCAACCAGTGCCAGTAGGCCTCTGTAGGTGTGCCGCGAAGTTTTAAGTAGTTTTCTTTTTCTTCTTCCTTTTCTACTTAGTACATTTGTGAAGCTGCATTCCCATCAATGAACGCAATGAGACCAAAAGCCGTTCTCAACTTAAGTCTTTGGAACACGATATGAGAGTCTACTTGTCAACCATTCGTCCAAGAATTAAACTTTTAATGAACAAACGTCAAGCACAAGTTTCCCACTAGAACAGAAACCAGAGTTTATTAAATATTTCTCACTCATTATCGGTAAATTCATACAACATTTTAATCAAGCTCAATTATTATTCAAAACTTTCCATTTAATAAACACTATATGATGTGTGTTAGATAACAATTGTGAGTTTTATATTTTTTACCTTGGTTTATATTATTACATATATATATTTACTAGTAAAAAACAGGATTTACAGAGTAAGATGTAATTGAAAAAGAGTTTTTTATGCACTTACTAAATGTAATTTTAACCAACAATATTTTTGTAGACAAGTGTGCCGTGACTACAAACGTGTTCTAGTTAGTGTGCCCTGAACGGAAAAAGGTTGGGAAACACTGCTATAAACATTTCGGTTCAAAAAGTCAATGCCACTTTTGTAATTCCCCCTCCCCCCAAAAAAAAACATAGTTACTCCCACCGCTCACCCATGATAAAGTTTGTTAATAAGCAAATGGAAGAAATCATGTGTAAGATTGCTGATACCGTTTTTATTTTGTTTTATCTCTTTATTAGCCTATATCTATTTCTGCAACCCTCATACTCTTTCATGGCCCAAACATTCATAATAACAAACAGTACAGTTATAATTGAAAGACTTGTCGAAACAGAAAGGAACCTTAGTCATTGTAAAATAAAAAAATAGTTGAGTAGGTGGGCAGAGGTTGCCAAGACTAACGATGGTTGGAAATGAGTTTGGGCTGTTGAAAGCCTATAAATCTGTAGGTAATGGGCGCAGCACAGTGGCATACCTAATTGACTGCTATAATTGCTCGTGTTTTTACTACAGTCCTTGTTTAATTAATGTCCTGACTGGGAACGTATGAATATGATTAATACTGATAAATCTTCAGCCTTAAGCGGTCTTTTTGTGGTCGCATTTCATAGCTCAACTGAGCTCCAATCAGTTTACGGATGTATTGAAATGCAAATCACTAGCTTTGATCTTTGGTAAGTTTGAATTTGTTTTTTGAAATTTGGTTTCATTTATTTCAATTAAATTTGAAATTATTGTTTGAAAAATTATTGTATGAATTTCAAATAATTACAACTCCAAAAGTAATTATTGTTCTTTGCCTAGTTATTAACATAAGCAAATTCAACTATTCCTACTAAGGTATGCAATACAGAAGTATTATTATGAATGTATATAATGTTTTAAGTAAATTTTTGTTAACGCCAGTAAGTATAAGAATTTTTTATGTTTTACTAAATTATCAAGATTCTCTTTTTATTAAGTTTTCAAGGATTTTTTACTCTTGCATCTATCATTTATGTTCAACATTAAAGCGACAATTATAAAAGTTAAAACTAATGGTTTGGAGATGTTGATGGAGGCATTAAAATGTTAAAAGTTTAGCTATTTTGGTAATAAAAGGTAAAAATCATATCAAACTTTAAATTGTCCATCTTTTAATTATGTATCACAGTTTGGAGCCCAAGGACAAATTCAGGATTTGATCTGATGTAGTGACAGTGCGTTCTTGAATGTATTTCATGGAGTTCCTATCAGCAGCATCCAAGTAGTACCTGAAATTTCAGATTTATCTTACTTTGAAACTATCTTTTAAATAAAAATTGTTTCAAGTATGTTCATGATTATTGATTGCATGAAGGAACTGACAGGTTTTAAGAAAATACCACCTGTTGCTCGATATCGAGCAACTAATTGTCAAGTATTACCGGAATTATTTCAAAACTAATAACGATCATAATTTTGAAGAGTTTAACGCTCCTTTCACACTATACGTTTTCGCTCGTACGAGTGTTAATCGTGCGGGCAGACGGTCGTGGGTCGGTTGCTTTCACACTACACGATTTGTAATTGTACGAGTAATAAATCGAAACCCCCCACTCCACCAGTACAGAGTTCAATGATACTTTAGTGGAAAGTTTTGTGGAGTATGGATCGGGAGGAAATTATTGCTGCGCTAATTATTTACAGACGCGGGAAAAGAAATAAACGCGGCCGTCTGCACTGGGTACATCCCATAAATGTAAAACGTGAGGAAGTGGGTGTGTTTAATACATTATTCGAAGATTTGAGGAACGATGAAGCCAAGTTTTTTAACTATTTTCGTATGTCGAAAGAATCGTTCGACGAATTGTACAATAAGTTGAGAAGTGATCTTCAAAGAAATAATACGACGTTCAGGAACTATACTATAATATAATACTATACAGTGCGCACAGGTAATTAAACTCAATAACCAAACAATTAAACTGAAAAACGAAATAAAAACTATATAGCAAAAACGCTGCGAAATGCACTCGGGGAGGGCTCCCGCACGACTAAAAACCGTGTAGTGTGAAAAGGGCCATATGGTCCATATGGTCCACTAGCAGTAGACACGACTATTACTCGTGCGGGAGTCGGATACCAACCGTGTGCACCTACGGTCGCTACGCGGGTGAAAATCGTACACGGTTGGTAATCGTATAATGTGAAAGGGGCTATAAGCTCCAATGCGATACAACAAATACGACTAATAACCTCACGAGCGAAAACGTATAGTGTGAAAGGAGCGTAAGAGACTAAACTCAAAGATGTTGTTTGCTGTCATGTGTTTTTATTTGATTGAAGAATTATGTTTCAATTGTTAAAAGGTTAAAACCTTTTTCAAAAGATTGAAAAATTTGGTATAAAGATCTCTTATCTTTTGAAAAATGTCAATCGAGATGTAGTTAGTACTACTTTGTTCTGAAATGGTGACGATACAAAAGTAGGTATTTTAAGTTAAGAATGAATGGAGATGAAAGTAGTATGAGTGACCAGATCTTGTAGTCTTGTTAGTGACTAAGGCCGACATATTCCTTAGACACAGCTGTTAATTAATAGCCCATACAGCCAATAGCAACTAAGGGACCTACAGTTTATAGTGGAATCCGAACCACATTTTGAGAGTCAATGGATAACATTATTTGGAGATGAGTGATTATTTAGGGAAACACTTGAAAGAATTGTGTGTTAATTAAGATTTGAACCACTTGTAGCTTGGACCATTTGTCATACTCCTTGGGAGACTGTGTAGGTGTTAAGATAGTAGTAGAGTTTACCTGTAGTTGACCATGAGTCCACAGCTCTGAGAGAGGCCCCGAGGGGAAGTATCCGCCAACCAGTTGAGTCTCCACATCACAGCTCCGTTGCGGAGGTGGAAGTTTGCTGGAACATACAAAACAAGCTGTATCTACAACACTCATTAAAGACACCATGTTGAGCTCTGTTTTAGAGCTTTAGTTAATTGATTATTATGAATCAGGTTTATTATGAAATTAGGAAACCTACAGGTATAGTAAAAAATTGATTATTCGACTTGCGTCAGGCTTTCCATACATACTCAACCCCCTTCAGATCCTGGACTAAGTAGTTAGCGTCATGGTCTTTGATGCAGGAGAGACCGGCATATCCACAAACATTTGATTTGGACAGCTTTCCCTTTAAAGCGTTTGTTACCTTCATTCAAAATGCCACTGGCATTGACACTAACAAAAAGAACAAATTATATGAAAAATCCATTCTTACCAACACTGTCAAACGCATATCCTCTTCTTTTCTCCAAATATAGATACCGACTGCACGACATCATCAAAGGTGTTTTGAGGACTTCAACAAGAGCCTCATTGTGAAACCAAGAGTTGTCAGATATCATAGACCTCAGCTTTGCCCAAGCGTCAGTTTCATCTTCGGGGTTAATAAGTTTGACAACTTCTCCCCAATCATTCAATGGCAAAACACTTTCACCTGCAAAATCAGTAATCATAATCTCTGTGTTATGAAAGTTAGGCTAATATAGTAAAAGCCTGTGAATCAAGCAGTTTCAATAATCCACCATCAATCTTAAGGCTTGAAAAAATTTATGGAATTCTGTTTTAAGTAGTAAAAGATTCCCCTGAGTCGACAACAATCGGCAAACATTGATATCGATTAGCAAACATTGGTAACAATTAACAATTAGCATAGTCATACAGCTGCAACAGGGGTATTTTTTCAAATTGCTCAAGAAACAATACAGTGTGCAAAGGTTGTAATTATTGTTCAATTATTTTAACGTCCATAGTCTAGTACTGAGATTTCACAACGCACATGCCGTTTCATTTTTCATTAATTAATTGTCAATTTTTAACAAATGTGTCTAAAAAAACCTAGAAACTAAACTGTGATGGGTATTTATTATTTATTTGTATTATTAAGTGTAGGTCTAACCTTTAACTGAATCACCCCATACAAGGTTAACATCAGAACAAACCTTTTTCAGCATTTTTCATCCTATCTAACAGCCATTGGCGAAACGATGGAATTGGCGACAACGTGGAGAACTGCGTGACATGAGGGTACTCCGAGTGTAACTCCTTGGCAGCTCGCTTTATCAGGTAGTTGCCCAGGTCGATGCCCTGACAAGAAAGGAAGAATCAGCAGACAAACATTGACATTTTGAAACAAAATCTCGACGATGATTACAATTTTAAGGTTTTAAATGTCCATGTAACAAGTGAAATTATTTCAGTAAAAGCAAGTAATGCAATTACAGTGGAATCTTGGCTAAAATGTGGTAGTTTATAAAAGGATTTCTGTTGTTTACCTATTCAGTTATTTCCGGTGCCACGAGTGACTGTGTTAATAGAGGTTTTACTGTACATATATTATTAAGAAAATCGAGATATCAGTTAAATGTGTAAGCTAGTAATTTAATTTACCCATTGTTTTCCAGAGAGAAAATATATTTTTAAATTAGTTTTTCTAACACACTAAAAACATATTTTGTTTATAAAAGTAGTAAAACATGAACTGTTTCAGTTATAAGAATTGAACCAAAGGAAAGAATAAAGTACATCTTAAATGAAGCAGTTATTAGGAGTGTTTAAGTAAAACATAAAAACTATGTATTAATCCAAAGCTAAGTGAATAATACAGTACATGAAAAAGGCATATTTGTGAACAAAACTTAACATACATGGTTAAATTACAGAAAATATTTAGCTTTAACAACAATGGAACTGACTACTGAGTTCATGGATAGAGTAAATTTAGTCCCTTTTTCTAAAAAATGAACGCTGGAGTAAAACTAACTATATTGTAAGCTAAGTTCCTAGTGTAATAAATAATGAAATACGAAAAATTTTCTTAAGTGGACAATAAATCATACATTTAATATGTTATTTATATTATTATACCTGCAATCCTTTCTGAGTTGAACTAATTGAGTAGAAAATAAAAGCTTTAACATTTTGTTTGTCTTCCACAATACTGTTTTGGTTTGTCTTTTCATCACCTACAAAATAATTAAGTAAATCTATAGCTTTATGACCTATAAGCATTAAGATTAAATACAAGCTTTTAGAAACTATTTAAGAGTTCATTTATTGTAGTAAATTATTATTAGGATGATTATTTCAGTCACAATTCATGTATTAAAAACATCTTATAGCCTTTCAGATCTAGGCCCTTTAAGTGTAACAAGACTATTTTACTTAACGATATAAAAGTGAAAAAAAAAAACGACCAAAGACTAAGTTTTAAAACTATGTTAGAGCAATGAATTTGTTGTGTACTAAAGTTCACTGTCGGTTCTTTCTTTCTTAGTTTCGACCACAGAAAACGTACTACTATAACCCAGAATGCCAACCCCATGGTAAAAAGCATTAAGCGGTTTGAGAGAGCTTTGCCTGTCAATCCGTAGGCAGCGCCACCAGCGTTGCCATGCAATAGCATAGCAACGCTGGTGACGCTGCCTACGGATTGATAGGCAAAGCTCTCTCAAAACACTTAATGCTTTTTACCATGCGATTGGCATTCTGGGTTATAGTAGTACGTTTTCTGTGGTTTCGACGCCAGTGGCATTTTTAGACGAGAGAGAATATACAGACTGTACTGAAATAATGCTTTTAGGGAAAGCGCTCCAAACCATATGTGTTGTGGATGTGCTGGAAATCGAACCCATCTCTCCCGCACCGAAGACAGAATCGCTAAACACTAGGTTAGCACAAACCTAATGTTGTTGTAGTAGGTTTGAGGTTGTATTAATGTTTAAAATATAAGTATCTGGGGAGTAAGTGGTATTTGTGCCTTTTACAGGTCACATTCTCCGCGCAAAGAAGCTAGAGCTTGACCGGGATGCAGTCTAGGTCATAAAGAAATCGAATGCCAGAAATGGCACGAGCCCTGAAGGCTTAGGTCACATGTTGACCTGACCTGAAGTAATGTGACAAACAATCCCAGGTCTGTGTCCAACAGAGTAGAGAGGGTTTTTAGTGAGTAGTCTGAAAGCTCAGGAATCTCACACTACAGGCTGCATACCTGTGTGCGTAAAAGCATTTTTACCTCCTTTCCCTTAAAAAAAAATGTGCCTTTTATAAGTAAAAATGGTGGCGAGAGGTAAGCGTAAGCCCCTCAGGGGGGATGTGGGCCCTTGTGGCACCCTTCCCTCAAGACCGCTGTGAGTCAGTTAATCTGTACTGTGTCCTTTAGTCACAGCCTACATGGGGTGCCACTGTTATCACTAAAGGCAGCGGATCTATGGTGGCAGAGTGAATGTCTGCCCTAGGGTCGGGGAGCAGCGACACTAGTATGACCTGAGGCCGAGGTGATGGACACCGGTCCGGGCTCAGTGTCAATTGAGCAGCAGGCGGAGTGAATGGATCACGGTAAGGCTGCTGCACTGCCCTCCAGTTCTGGTATGTGTGCAGCGGTGCTGGAGTAAGTATTGATGAGCGGAGTGTATGGAACACGGTACGGTCTTCAAACTGCTAACCTGGTATTGTTTCAGAAGCTATGATGTCTGCTAATCAAACTACGGAAAATACCCCAGGTGGGTCAGCGCCTAGGCGTGAATCCCACCCCTCCATCTTGGAGGGCTTGCCCATGGATTCTGGGGAGGGCAAATTATCAGGCACTGTTTCAGAGACGAAGGTGGAGGGGGGCAAAGAGGCTTTTGCCAGCTCCCTCACTGCTAGATCTCCACAAAACCTTAGTATCGACGACGTTCAAATGCTTGAGGAAGCACACAGGGCTTTGGCGGGTAGTGTGGCTGACTCAAGCGCCCATTCAAATCTAACCCTGGGCTCTACCTCTGAGGTGGCAACACCGGATCTGTGCGTAGAGACCCAGGCATGTGCAACTGTTCCAGAACAGGAGAGAAGACAACGGCCATCTTTACCCCCTAGTGTGTGGAGGACACAGGTCAGGGCAAGGAAGGAGGCTGAGGGTACTTGGCTTTCAAAAGCTGAGTACAAAAAATCCAAAGGGATTGTCAACAAGCCCAAGAGGAAAAGGCAGGCTGAAACTCCCAGTCCTGCTGGAGGAGAGGGCTCTGGTATTTCTCCTATGCGCAGAGTTTCAGGTCCACCGCAGCAGCATCAGACTCAGCAGACTCCAAAGCGGCCGAGAAGGTGGGATGTCCCACCCCCGCCGCCAAGGAGCGCTGCAGAGGGCGATGCCAGCAAGGACTTGACCTTCAAGGACCAACTCTCGGGCTGGAAGATGGCGATTGTTCCGGAGAATTATCCTGACGATAGGTTCACTGATGAACAATTTTGCCTGTTACAGGAGAAACTGTTTGAGATGGTTATTATGGCCGCCACTCCTCAGCAGATCCTGAAAACCTACAAGGACGAAGGTGCCCTCGCAGTCTTGTGCGGAAACGAGGAGACCAGAGATTGGCTCAAGGAGGTGGCTGTTGGTCTGGGTCCGGTGGGCGTGGGGGGGCCGAGTGTGATTGTGGGGGATCATAAAGATCTCCTGCGTACAACCAAGGTCCTTCTCCATACCGACTGGATCCTGGCCAGGAAAGATCCTAAAGAAATCTTTGAGTTTGTCCAGAAGCTGAATCCTGGACTGTCAACCAGAGACTGGAGAGTGGTCAGTTGCAAGCGAGAGGCGGAACACCAAACTCTGGTTCTGGCAATTGACTGCGGGAGTGCCAAGTTCCTGAGGGACAGGGGCTGGAGGATTTTCTTGGGTATAACAAGGGTTCAACTCAAGGTTCTTTCAGGTGCTCCTGATGACGATCCGAATACTGCAGGCGAACCTACAGCACAGTAAAGCTGCCACTGCGGTACTCTGTGCGAGTACTGCGGGTGGGGCTTTTGACTTTGCCCTTATCCAGGAACCCTGGGTTAGAGACGGCAATATAACGGGAATGGGGGTCTCTAGGGGCCAGGTATTCTCGGCTCAGGTCCGGAATCCTAGAACCTGCATTTGGACTAGCAATGACACCATTTGTGTGCCGGTTCTGGAATTTTGTTCCAGAGACATCACGACGGTAGAGACCAAATGCAGGGAGTCCGGACGGCGTCTACTACTTGCTTCAGTATACATGCCGCAAGATGAGCCCACGCAGCCTCCGCAAGAGGAAGTTAGGAAGCTGGTCGAGCACTCGGCCAGGACCGGCGACGACCTCGTGCTGGGCTGTGACTCCAACTCCCACAACACTGCTTGGGGTTGTAGGGATAATAACGCAAGAGGTAAGGCACTTCTTGAATACTTAGCCTCTAATGGTCTAATGATTGCTAATGTCGGTTCAGAACCAACTTTTCATAGCAGGGTTGGGGAATCTGTTATAGATCTTACTATAACCAACGTGGGGATCAGTAACAGAATTCTGGATTGGAGGGTATCCCAGGAACCTTCCCTCTCTGACCACAGACATATCATGTTCAACATTGGTAACTTTTCCTTGGAAAAGATTGAGTTCAGGAATCCCAGAAAGGCAGATTGGGATATGTACAGATCAACTCTTAAAGAGCGCATTGAATGCTTTGACACACAGTTCCCTTGGGTCAGAGACACCAACACGCTAGACCTTGCCTCTGGGAGCTTAGGCGAGGCCATTGTCACGTCCTTTGACGAGAGCTGCCCGCTAACGGTGAGGAAGCAGGGTAAAGTGAGTTGGTGGACCACAGAGCTTACCAGCCTGAAAAAGAGAGTCAGGTCTCAGTTCAGGTGGGCGAAGAGGACAAATAATTGGGATGGCTATCATAGATTGCTAACCCAATATAACACGGCTGTAAGGAGGGCCAAAAGGCTCTCCTGGAAACATTTCTGTAGCAAGCTAGAAAGTGTTAGAGATACATCTAGGATATACACTGTCCTAACAAAGGACAACTCCTCCAAGCTAGGCCCCCTCAAGGAGCCTGGGGGAGATATGCTGTATGAACCTAAGGAAGTGCTAAAGCTCATGGCGGCCACCCACTTCCCTGGCTGCATCATCCCAAGCGAGCCATTGGTGCCGGAGGATGAGGAACAAGCTGTCGCAAGGGCAAACAACACTCGGTGGAGGGTTGCGTGCCACATTGTGACACACAGTCGTTTGAGATGGGCCATAGGGTCACTCATCCCATACAAATCACCTGGACCTGACGAGGTAAGACCTGTCTGTCTCCAGCAAGGTATCGATATATTACTTCCGGCAATGAGTAAGTTGTTCAGGGCCAGCTTGGCCCTGGGACACATTCCCCCGGCCTGGAGCATCTCAAGGGTGGTTTTCATCCCAAAACCTGGTAAGGCAAGTTACACGGATCCCAAGTCCTTCCGTCCCATCTCTCTGTCCTCATTCCTGTTGAAGACCTTAGAGAAACTGGTGCTGAGGTATGTGGGGGACACAGTCCTCAGAGTCAATCCCCTACATAGAAACCAGCACGCCTATACCCCAGGAAGATCCTGTGACTCTGCCCTACATCACCTGGTAAGCAGAATCGACAAGGCGTTTGAGTTCAAGGAGATTGCCCTTGGGGCGTTCCTTGACATCCAGGGCGCCTTTGACAACACTGAAACCCAGGCTGTAATCAATGCTGCCAGAGCTCGTGGATTCCATGAGGTGGTGTGCAGGTGGGTAGAGTCTCTACTTAAGAGGAGGAAGGTAAGACTCTCTCTTCACAATGAGGTTCTGGAGGCCAGGACCACACGAGGGTGTCCACAGGGGGGTGTACTCTCTCCTCTTCTCTGGAACCTTGTTGTGGACGACTTAATTAGATCTCTCAGTGATAGTGGTGTATTCGTTCAAGGATACGCGGACGACATTGTGATACTAGTTATGGGTAAATTCAACAACACGGTCTCCGACCTCATGAACACAGCCTTGAGGTCAGTTGGACAATGGTGCACTGAGGTAGGCCTTTCTATCAACCCCTCCAAAGTGGCGGTTATCCCCTTCACGAGGAGGCGCGATCTAAATGGCATTGGACCTCTGAGACTACAAGACACAGTGCTTGAAATGCAGAATCAGGTAAAGTACCTGGGGGTGGTATTGGACCGAAAGCTGCAATGGGGGCCACAACTCCAAAAGGTCATTGATCGAGGTAAGTGGTCACTCATGGCCTGCAGACGTATGGTGGGAGGAACCTGGGGGCTCAAGCCGGCGCTCATGCACTGGCTATTTGTCTCCGTGGTAAGGCCCGCCATGACATACGGCTCACTCGTGTGGTGGCCCAAGATGGACTCAGTGTCGGCGGTGAGAGATCTGGCTGCCGTCCAAAGACTCGCCTGTCTCATCATCACGGGCGCAATGAGCAGCTGTCCGGGAGCCTCACTGGACTGCCTTCTCAACCTCACTCCGATTGACCTGCATGTCAAGGTCACTGCGAGGAGGACTGCCTACAGACTCCAGTGTGAAAACCTTTGGTTGGATGTTGGAGGATCCCGAGGTCACTCTCGGATCACTCAGCAGGTAAGAGGGGAGGTAATGGACATGCCCTCGGATCACATGCCGACTCGATTCTTCTTCGCCAGACCATTCACTGTCCTCCTTCCGTCCAGGGATGAGTGGATGTCCGGTGGGAATCCTCTTCCACAAGGCGACCTTGAATGGTATACTGATGGTTCTAAGGTAAGAAGTGGGACTGGGGCTGGAATTCATGGAGTGCAGAACGGGGTGGACATTTGTCTTCCTATGGGCACTCACCCAACTGTGTTCCAGGCCGAAATGACTGCGATTATGGTATGTGCTAGGGAAAACCTGAGGCTAGGCTTCAGGGACATCAACATTTCCATTTTCACAGACAGCCAGGCTGCGCTCAAAGCGCTTGATTCCTATGAATTTAATTCTAAGGTGGTCTGGGACTGCCTTTCTGCGGTATGTGACCTGGGCAGGCGCAACAAGGTAACGCTCTGTTGGGTTCCTGGGCACTCAGGGATAGAAGGGAATGAGGTGGCTGACAGGCTAGCGAATGTCGCGTCAGCCTCAGACTTCGTGGGACCACAGCCTTTCTGTGGAATCTCTCGTGGGCATGCATGTCACTCAGTCATGGCATGGGCTCAGGAGGAACACAGGAAAAGATGGGTTAGGCTTCAGCACCATAGGGTAAGTAAGCTCACCCTCTTCTCTCCTTCCCAGACGGTCGCCTCCAATGCCCTACGCTTGGACAGGAGGCGACTCAGACAGATCACAGGAATGGTCACTGGACATGGCTTTCTGAAATTACACCTGCATCGCTTGAGGATCCACAATGGTGACACTGCGTGTAGGAAATGTGGGCAATCAGAGGAGACTGCTGATCACCTACTCTACGACTGCACAGCTCTGAATGAGGTAAGGGACAGTACTCTTGGTGTAATGACAAGGGGCAGACACCTTCCTCAGGAGGAGCTCATTGACAGGATGCTTGAGTTCATTAAGCAACTCAGGTTTGACGGACTCTGAAGTACCATGTGGGGAGCGCAAAAAGCCCATCAGTGGCTGACGTGCAACAGGACAAGGTCCGCCCCTACAGAATCAATCAATCAATCAATAAGTAAAAATATCTTGTTGATAGGGGTTCAAGTGTTCAAAATACCATCAAGCATTTTTATATCCAGTAGAGCCTGAAATCTATTGAGCAGTGAAACGAGTTACATATATTTTTTTGTTCAACAATAATAGTATTGTTGAATATTCAATCAACAAGCACGTTAAGTACAGCCAGTGTCAACATTTACAACCAATATTAAAGAAGTTACGAGTCTAGAAGTCAGTTAAAGCAAAAATGTAAGGTGTGAATAAAAGTCATCACACCAAACCTATTACACACTTTAGAGGTAAAAAGGCTTTTGTAATCTGGCATTATCATGGAAAATAGTAGTAAGACAACGTGAAACATAATTTACACTTAGTTCATTACCGTTCCGAAAGAACCTGTTGATGATACTCTTCATGTTGTCGGATATCTCTTTGGTGAGTGCTACGTGTAACACTACCAATGGTTCCCCAGGCATGCTGTGATGTGTGTACACAAAACATCGTCTGTACGGTCCCACCCTCTGCCGGATATCTGTCCAGCTGCGTACAGGGTGGACAGCCTCATACTCGGATATCTATAAGCAAACCACCAACAATTTTAGCTTGATTCTAGACATGCTGTGATGTGTGTACACAAAACATCGTCTGTACGGTCCCACCCTCTGCCGGATATCTGTCCAGCTGCGTACAGGGTGGACAGCCTCATACTCGGATATCTATAAGCAAACCACCAACAATTTTAGCTTGATTCTAGACGTGCTGTGATGTGTGTACACAAAACATCGGCTGTACGGTCCCACCCTCTGCCGGATATCTGTTCAGCTACGTACAGGGTGGACAGCCTCATACTCGGATATCTATAAACAAACCACCGGTATTAGCTTGTTTCTAGACATGCTGTGATGTGTGTACACAAAACATCGGCTGTACGGTCCCACCCTCTGCCGGATATCTGTTCAGCTACGTACAGGGTGGACAGACTCATACTCAGATATCTATAAACAAAACCCCTATGAGCATATAATATGAGCTGGAGAAAATAATTTACTTGGATCTTTGTAGTTGGCACCAAAAAGTAAGCGAGCTTTTTTCTATTTGGAAAAAGTTATTGAGGCTAGAGAGACGAATACAATGACAAACTTTTTGTGAAAAACCCCTCCATTTTAATTTATTTTGTGTATACTACCTGGGTGTTTCCAGATAATGGAGATGCACACAATTACACTTCATCAATAACTAAATACCAATAGTAATAGTCAGTGAGTAGTTTACCTACCTTTTGTAGCAGACAGCAGGGTGACGACCAAGTAACTCTCTCAAGATGCAGAAACCCCACGGAGAACCATAAACTGAGCAGTTTTTTCAAAACATTGCTCAACTGCTGCAGTGGAAGCTGGTGGGGTGATTTGGCATCTGTGGTTGACAGGAGTGCCTAAAACACACATTTATAGCCAATATGAACTTCTAACTAGTATTTGAGACAAATACTGAAATTATTCATTTTTGTTCATTTAAAGCTCCTAAGTCTATGGTTGATGAATCACTGTTGAAAACAGATTAATTTAAATAGCCTATATAAAATACAATTACAGCACAAAAGTAACTCAAGGTGAATAAAATAGATAACACTAAGTAAAATGTGTTCTAATAGTATGCCAAATCATAAGATTCTGTTCAGGTTGGAGAAGTTGATATTCTTTAAATTTTGGTATTTCATGAAGTATCTTTGATATTAGTATAGTACGAGGCTTGTTCAACAAGCAATCCTCAAGCCAGTTAGTTCAAATCTAAGACATGCACCGCATTTATGTTTCTCGCTTTATGACTGAGGTCATTCAACAGTCTCGCAAGTGGCAGTGACCTAGGTTAGGAAAGATTTGCAACTGGTTTGTAGTATGACTGGATGAGAGATTGCTAAACTGATAGGAAACATCTTAATTAGACTATTAAGGACAACGTTAAACCCTGAAAGTCTTACACTGATCAGCAAGTAAGGTTTTCTCCACTTTAATTAATTTTATCTCTGGAAGCTGATGATCTTAACATGTCTCTGCTGGCTTTGCTATGCAAATGTGTACTACTTTCTACAAACTTCCTAAGCTACTTATGCATACTTCCAACATCGTAATACTATTCTGCAACACATCTGTCAAATGCCAACTGATTTCAATTGCCTCTGACTCTATAGACCACTGGATTCTTATTGGAGAAGTATTTCCCTTCATATTGTTTTATACTACCATACAAAGACTAATTGCATAAGGGTGAAAGCCTACTGGAATTGTAGTGGATGAAGTCAAGAAAACAGTGATTGTTTCAGATTTAAACTAACTCCCATGGCTACAAAGGGAGCCAGATAGAGACCTTAATTTACAGACAGCCGTTGTGTATAATGACTTGCAATTTTACTAAGCTAAACCATAACCAAATAGAATAAATATAGACTGTCAAAGGGAGGTTCTGCGATGTGCTGCTAGAGCGTTATCGGTGTTCGATTCACTGATGTCGTATGCAGTGTGCGACGTAACTACACGACACTCCTAGCGGTGGATGCCAGAACATATACTAACTGCAGCACTGCTGTCGGTCTATATTTAATTCTTTTTGTCTATGCTAGAACTTAACTGGCCAGACAATCAAACATTAAAGGACAGTTTTACAGCTGATTGAGTCTAATATTTAATAATGATTGACAAGTTTATTTATTTCTCAATTTACCAAAAGATCACAACGCATATCCACAAGAAACTTGACTCCATACTCCAACCTGCCGAGATGTGCGAATAGCCAGGAGAACTGAGGAGCAAGAGCTTCTCGAAGTTTCTCTTCTGTTTTCAAAACAAGGCCACTTTGATTCTCAACATCAACCTGAAAGTAAAATTTGCAGAAATATGAACATCGCTAATCTAAATCCAGATGATACTTTCATTACAGTAACAATTTTGGTTCAACTCCTAAATGACTTGAATGTTGAACAAAATAGGTGATCATTTCTTTTGGCAGGATAAGAAAGGAATACTGTATGGTATTTAATTCATAGAGTATGTTAAAAAAGTATTATATACCACATACAGTAATACATATTATGCTCGGAACACACTATTTAATTTTAGCTAATTTTCCATATAGGGAATTTTTCACTGTAGGAAATTAGCGAATTTCCACTATAGGAAATTAGCAAACTTCCCATGTAGGGAATAAGGCATTGATGTGAATCTCATGGTAAGACCTAGACCCAGGACCGCTTTTCTTTTATCAAATTTCCCATATAAGGAATACCATTTTTACTTTGCAAAATATTTTATGTTTGAATAACTGAAACTCAATAGTTGGGTTTTGATAGTTGTAAGTTCTACTGTACTCACAACTCATCAATTTTATCAAAAGTGTGCAAGTTCACAAATAAATCTAGATAACCTTATATGAAATAGTTATGTGAGATAAAGAAAACTCATCAAAGATATGGTGTATATTTTAACAAATACATTTACAGTAGATATGTAGATAAGGTTCTGAGATATTTGTATTTTAGCAATAATAATCACATTTTTGGCAATACTGTGTAATTTAAAATACATCAAATTCTTATTTACCTCACACTTCCCTAATCACAAAAATAGTTGAATTAACAATTTTGATCCGACATCTTATCTGAGCTGATCCCAGCAATACTAAGTTAAGTTAAAGTGTCAATTTTGCCACATCAACTAGTTTTATATTTCTTTGTTGGCTGGCCAGGACAAGAGTCACGATTATTACTAGCGTTCTCAGCTGAGATTGGACGAGTTACATAAGTTACCTTGTTTATAGTTATATAGGTGGCTTTGTATCTTTAGATATATATATATATTCACTCTTGTTAATTTATTAGTCTTAGTATCTTGACGTCAACTGTACAAGTGTGCAATCTTGTTTCTTGTTGAAATAAATCTTTGAATCTTTGAATCTAAGCACCAGAGGGTTAGCAGTATGGCTACTGCACAACAAAATGCTTTGACGAGCTTAACTTGTAACACAATGACAATCGGAATTTAACAGATTTGAGGCACAACAAAGGCCAGTTTATCTCTGCATATCATCAGCTCACCAGTTGTTTGGAAAGCTTTGAAACACTTCCATGGTCTACAGCATATTTTGTTGCAAGTGTTTTGAAAAATTCTTCCTTGTCTTCTTTCAGGAGATTATTGTAATAAAAAGTCAATGTTCTCAACTCGTTCTGTAACAGAAGTATGGTATTGCATTAAGATTTTGTTTGAATTATACAACTGTACTTTGTTCACAATATTTAGGCGGTTTGAGGGGAAGTTCCCCCACAACTTATGTTGTATTTAATGTTGCTTAATCATTTATCGAGCTATTACTTTAAAGGTAAGGGTCATGCGGAGGGGTAGATTTCTTTCCCTAAAACCACCTAAATATTGTGAACGAAGTATAGTATATATAATAGTTCAAAGTTTTAACAGATTTGATTTATGATCCACTCTGACGCTGTTTATGAAATAATCTATCTTATCCAAAAATAAATTGATCCAACCCAAGAAAACCAAAATGGCCTTAACATTGAAAGATAAATGGCTGGCAGGCTCACTTGCTCTAATGACTCAGTGTTTCTGGGGAAGGGAGGGGGGTTTGGATTGACGGTCACTTCATCTTTTACTAGGTATTCTATTGGGACGAATAGTTTCCACGTAGTAATCGAAAACATTGTGATGAAAATGGAGGTTGAAATGTGAACAAGGAGTGGTGGGGGGAGTTCGGATGTGGTCTTAAACATTTGCACAATGTGTTTCAGGGTGTTTTTTAAGTCGACTGCGGTTGTTCATTAGTCATGTTTGAGCAAGTGACCAAAGTTTGGGGAATTTCGCAAACGGATTGCGGTGTGACTAAACCAGAGACATTGAACCAAGGTTAGCCCTGGAAGACTGAAACACACCAATCAGCGAGCAAAGTTTCCTTAAATTCAATCAATGTTTCATTGGAAACTGATGAACACCCGTTGCCTGCCCGATTCTGCAAATATGTACGGGCTTCTACAATTTCCATAAGCCACTAAGATTTCCTACGTAGAGACACATTTTGCATACAAATCTGTCAACTGGAAACAGTAATAAACAGGGATTGATCCCCTCTCAATAGAAAACTGATCACAGAATGTTGTTCATATTGGGCGGGTGCATCAATTTTCTTTCACAACGTTTTTGAATACTGATAAAATTCTTAATTCAGTAGTTGTGAAAACCGGCTAGTAACAGTTTGTGAATGAAATGAAAAACACAACAATGGTCTCATATTTAAATTAGCTTGCTTTCCTGCAACAATATTTAAAAACCTTGGTTTACAGACAAATCTTTTACTTTCAACATCAAAAATACGAAGATAATAACCAAACTTTACAGTTTTGTGATGTAGATTAACATTTGATGGAGTGATGAGCACCTCCAGGCTGTTCTAGAACTTTGTTCTTTGGTCTTGGATAGGCTAGTAGCTTCGACATGTGCCGTCGTAATACATTACAAGGCGTATATTACAAAAGTTGTGACCAGTCGTAGCCCTGATGAGAGTAGGACTGTCTAACTACAATTTACATGTGGTTTGGTTAGCGAGTTTTCACAGTAGATCTCTCTGTAGTTGGTTTAGAACCTTAGTTAATGAGTATTAATTTATTCAGTCTTTGAGAAATTAACAATATTGCAACTGACATTCGGATACTGGATGTTTACCTCCACAATACAAGTATATAATAAAGTAGAACTGTTTCCGACTACTCTTACTAATTACACCAGCACTCAGTTTTATCTTTGCATTAACATCATCTCACTGTCTTAAAACCACAACATATTCTACACCTTAGTCTGCAATTTTAATTGTCAATTTTAAACCATCAATATTAAAAAAAAGTTTGTTTAAGAGATGAATTCAACTAACAAAACTGAATCACTACCATAGTAAAGATGTAAATTGTAGTAGCTAAATTACTTACCTCGATTATTAGAGTGGTTGCTTTGGCATCTTTTAGTTCAAAAACATCCTTTAAGTGTGACAATATGGATGCGGATCTTGTTGAATCATTTTTATTTGAAACTTTTACATTAAAATGTTGACATCTACAAATCTGGATTTCTCTATAAGAATGATTGTTCAACTTAATTCTAGCTGAATGTGAAAAATATGTAAAATACTGTATATTGGTTGGTAAAACCAAATGGGATTTTGAATTGCTAAAAGTTAATATACGATTGAAGAAAGACATTTTCTATAGGATCATAGAAAACTTTGCAGTTTGGGACTAATCTTACTTTGAACCGCCCAACCCAAAATAAAACTTCAAATTAAGAAAAGTAATTATGCTTCATAAGTTGTCAAGATGACTGCCAGTTTCATCCAGGTTTAAATTTCAATCAGAGCTACCTCCAACAACACCACGTAAAACAACTAATTCACCTATGGAATAAATACCCTTAAGTTTAATAGTTATATAAGATATGTAGGCTAATCCTGAATCCCCAAATTATTCACTTCCAAAGCCATAAAAAATATCTAAAAAATCAAAAGAAAATACAGTGACAGATTGACTTTGCATCATGATTGCAAATGAAAGTTTTCACAATGACTGATACCAGAGAGGCTGTTTTTTTTTTTCAGATTTAATCTATAACAATTATTTCACTACCGGTAAGTAAGCATTTAAATAATTTTACACTTTGTCTTCTGTGGTTGTGGCAAAATGGTGTTTACACTCACACCTGTAACAAAGAGAGTTTGGTATAGGTATTACATTTTTTTGTGTTGTGTTGATTATGGTGTGCACAATGTAATGAAGGATGCTCCAAAGAATTGGTTGGTTCCCATTTTTGTAGAGGAATTCCAGTTTATGTATTGAGCTTTTTTCAAGAACTCAATTTAGTTAAAGACATCAATTCCTTATTAAATTGGTACTTTGGTATTATTCGAAGGCCCCCCTTATATATAGCGCGCTGCTGCGATTATTTTAGGTTGGGTTATCATAAATATGTTTGTAGGACTTTCCTTGTTCCGTTATGAATCGAACGATACCAGATGATGAGTCATACTTTCGCACCCCAAATCACCTCCAAGTAGGCCAAGGTCAGGTCGTTGACCGGAGTGCGCGCATCACCTGTCACCGCCTGTATCTACGGTATTTGGCGGGCGAAAGTAAGACTCATCTGGTATCGTTTGATTTATAACAAAACGAGGAAAGTCCTACAATTACAAACATATTTATGCTAACCCATAGCATAATCGCCGCAGCACGCTTTATACCTACTGCGGCAGGGATGCATTCAACTCAATCCTCGCCGACATCGCTGCCTTCTGGGAGGCAGAACTCAAAGAAAGCTAATCGTACTCATGTCAAATTTGGACGGTAAGTCAATTAAAGTATATTCTTTCCACATATATACAGTTATTTTTGGTCTCCGGTAAAAAAAATCCCTCTAAAATAAGTGGCCTACGGATAATACCAAAGTACCAATTGGGTAGTACATTATTTTGTAATTATATGAAAATGTGAAACTTAATTTTACAGTGAATTTGACTCTATATTTAGGCCTAATTGTTGTCAATCTATTTGAATGTTCATGTTTATGTTAGTAATATTAATCTCTCTCTTTGTTGTGGTTAATATATTTTATTTAGCATTTTTACACTTTTAAATATTAGATGATGAATGTCTGTAATAAAAAAATTAGTGAATATAAATACCGTTTTCGGATAGGCCATCCCGTATGTTTTTAAGAGTTTTGTCAACTATTAGGTCTAGTGTGTTTGAATAAAATCTGGATAGCCGGATTTAAAATGAAGCCAGGTAAGGGAAATATTTTTGTATAAGGATATAACTTGAAATAGAACTGTAAAAAATTGTTTTTGTGTTAGGCCTACATTGTTTCTAAGAATGATTTGCAGTAGCATACCGTAATTCAAAGAATTATTATTACACAATTCTTCATACTTTTTAGCAAACTTCCTATAGTCTATATAGAAAATAAAATTACCGTACGTCTCATGATAAGACTTAGGCCTATAACCAAGAACCCAAGCCCGCTTTATTTTTTCATTTTGATGTTCCCAGAGGCCAAAAAACCCATTTGTTCAAATTCGTATAGGCTACTTTATAGCTTAGGCTACCTATGCTCATTAGTACGATAACTCACATAATTAAATAATCCGGTTTTGATGAAATTTTGTGCAAATGTGTAAACCCACATTTATTCAAACGGGTTTGGGAATCAGCATGACCGGGTTATGGGAACGAGGTTTGATGGGTGAAAATTGGGTTCTCTCATTTTATAGTAGGTTATAGTAGTACGTTTTCTGTGACTCAAGTCACTAAATCTAAACTATCCTAATATATTTACATAAGTTTAATACAGGTACAAAAAATGTCAACAGAATAATTTACGGCTGCACTTTACTTTAGGTCCTACACAAACAACCGAATGAAAATATCTACTATTCGATTGTTTCATTCGATATATCGTTTGGTTAGTTAGGTTAGATTAACCTTACCTAACTAACTAAACGATTAATCGATATATCAATTGATATTTTCATTCGAATGAGTGTAGGACCTAAAGTAAAGTGCAGCCTAATTTACAATATAAATTTTACATTTGTTTTTTTTTCCAAATGTAACCTAGGCCTAAAAACTAAAAAATAAAGTAAGTTAAGTTACACATATAAGAAGGAAAACTTACCAAGGATAAAATTGAATAGCCTTAAGTTACTAAATTATTCACTTAATAATATTTACTGTTTAGGAAAGCTTTAAATGTAAAACATTAAGTAAGATAATTCACCAAATAAATTCACTCTCAGTTCAGTATCACTGGCACACTGGCTAGAGAGCTCGACACTGATGGTAATTATTAATTATTAATTAAATAAAAACATTCTAATTTCAATTACACGTGAAAACATCTAAAACTGATAGGCTGCTCAGCTGCTGGAAGACATTGTTTGTAAACAAAAACCAACAGACAAACCAGACGGACAAAAATCAAAGAAAATGAAATGAAACCTAAGAAGAGTATTAAAAAGATGCTAGCAGCGTTGATTATTAACGTTAATTAATTATAGTGATAGATAATGAAAAATATGAAAACCGTATTACACTTGAATATACCTATCAATATCCAAAGGTAAAACTAATTGTATAAAATAAAGCATGTTGATGACTTAAGGTACTAATACAATTAATAATACAATATAGTATATATATTATATATAGTATATATAATATATGTACAATATACCGTAGAAATATAATACGGTTAATACCTGTTTGTTCCGTCGTATGACCATGAAAACCGATGTTTATATACCTATGTCGAGTGTCCTGGCTACGCTCGGATATGATGATCATGATTAGAGGAATATCAGTTGATATGTAAGACTAGAAGCATATTAGATAAAACATACTCCTCAAGGAGTATGTTTTATCTATGCTAGAAATGCAGTAGTCACGCGCCCCCCTTAACCACGGCGACCTTTAACTCCAGACCGAGGCCTTCGAAGTGGCAACGTCGCAGTAGGGTTGTAACAGCTGTTTTGTTTTGAAGCAGCTAAAATGGGTATATTGAATGCTTGGTATTTACTATTTACGAATGCTTGGTTACTGGACTATGTTGGTTATTGACTCCGCTTTAAATGTACGGACTAAAATTTTTAATTCATATTGTTTTTGTTTTCAATTCTGTATGTTTTATTTTCAAAATTTTAAAAATGTATGTTCATAAATTTAAATTAAAATCGATAAAGTGTGAATAAATGAGCTGATGTCACCTGTCTGCCATCGTCTGACATAAGCATCTAGACTGCCAGTGCAACTCCTAGGATCGTAGGATCGTGGATCAGATCGAAAAACCCCCCACCACCTCTCAGTGCCGATGGCGTGACGTCAACCATTACTGCAACGATACGGAACTGAGTCATGAGTCTTTGTGGTGTAGTGGATAGCGTGTAGGGGCTGATAATCTGAAGGTGCCGGGTTCGAATCCCACCAGGAATACTACCTTTTTGTCAACAATTCTTTTATATCAGCAAGTTTGGTTGGTTTGGTTAGTTTATGACAGTTTAATTTTATAATTAAAAGATTGTAAAATTGAATTTGAGGCATTTATAATTTTATTTTTAGAACAGAGCTATTTTTCGAATAGTAAACCTTCATTCGAGTTTATCATTATCAGCAAGTTTGGTTAGTTTGGTTAGGTTATGATAGTTTAATTATATTTACGCCACACTACATTATTTTTACGAACTTCCCACGCAAGGATTTAGTCCAGAAAACAGCTGTTTGCCGCCAGCTTATTCAAATGGGGTTTCATTGCGTAATACTGTTCTGCAATGAGTTTTACCGGACACCAATCAGCTGATTATACTGTATTTGCGTGGCAATGATTGGTTATAAACAAAAACATAACCTCTCTTAGAGGTCATGACTGGTGATGTTTAGTCCTTTAGTTGGTGGAAATATATATGGATTTGTACGAATTAAGTAGTATGGCGTAAACTATCGTACGTCACTCGTCCGAAATGTGTTTGCCGGACTCGTATGGTAATCCCGTACTCGACTTCGTCTCGCACGGGAACGACCACACTCGTCCGGTAAACATTTATTTTCAGGACTAGTAACGTAATATACTATTAATTCAAATTTAATCTACAAATTATACGTTTTGACAGCGACAGTGATACAGGTAACAATTTTCCGCGAACAGTTAGATAAGCTATGCTGATGCGCCGGTATGATTCGGAAGCGTACGACATGGTGCGGTGGTGGGGGATGATCTACTGATCTGATCCACGATCCTCGGGCTCGGAGTTGCACTGGCAGTCTAGACGCTAGTTGGTCTGAAACTAAACAACCCTACTTGCAACGTTGCCAATTCTACCTGGCCGCGGCCTTTAGTTAAAGGTGGCCCGGTGGCCGTGCCTTAACTCACGGCCGCCTTTAACTACAGGCCGCGGCCTGGTAGAATTGGCAACATCGCAAGTGGTGTTGTTTCATGGCAGACAGGTGACATCAGCTCATTAATTCGCACTTTATTGATTTAATTTTTAATTTATGAACATAAATTTATTAAAATATTGAAAATAAAACATACAGAATTGAAAATTGAAACAATTTGAATTAAAATCTATATCTGTACATTTGTAAGCGGAGTCAATATTGTCATAGTCCAGTAATGCAAATAGTATAAGTAATGCCGGATAGGTTGACACCCTATCCGGCATCGCTGGTCTTGGTGACGAAGGAGGTAATAAAGGTAATCAATCTTTCGTAAACACAAATATCATTAGTTGCTTCCAAAAAAATCAGCTGTTACAACACCACTTGCGACGTTGACAGTTCGAAGGCCGCGGCCTGTAGTTAAAGGCGGCCGTGCTTAACTCCTGTCGGCGAGTGACGGTGTGGTGGCATCGATATCTTGCGGTGGTCATGTCATGAATTTATTGCCATGGTTTAAGGTAGGCCTAAATGCACCAGTAGCTGACAGTGCTCCAGAAGCTGACAGTTTGAGTTTCTTTACATTATAATGTGGTCTCTTAAAAATATGTATTATTTATTTATTTATTAAACACCAACGGCAAACACCATTTTACATTAAGTAGTTACAAAAAATATAATAATTAACAGAGGAGTAACAATGCATAAAAAAATATAACAATGTATAAAAAATATAACAATAACAAAACATAACAATGAATATATCAATAACAAGAATACAAACAAAATTGATCACAAATATTAACATGGGAAAAATCAACAACAAAGGAATAACAACAACAATGCTTTTATGGTGTACCCTCAAGGATGCAGTCAGCCGCAGAACGCCGAACCACCCCCAAGGAGGCAGTTAAAAGGTCCACAGAGCTGCTTATCACATTCCCGAGGCGCATGATCCGGGGAATGGGACTAGATCTGGCGTAGTTGGTCCCAGTATGGTCCAGTTCAAATACACGCTGATGTCTCGTGATTCTCGAAGGAACATGGAAGTTTATCCTTTCCAGCAAGAAGGGGCAGTTGACTTGGTTATTTATCAGTTTGTAGAGAAAGGTCACATCAGCCACTCGCCTTCTGTTTTCAAGACTCGGAATGTCATAGATATAGAGAGCTCATCTACCCGGATTGTACACATGATTGCATTGTTAGAAGAACATATATGTTTATTCTTGATTTGTTTACAAACAAGTCAGTGAAATTTAGCCCATACTCGCTGAATGGTGGTGGTTTGAAAGCGACCCTGTCTGTACACATCACATTTAGTCAATTCCCTTGATAAAATTGTTAAGAAGGTAAGTTTGATTTTTTGTCATTTCGCTAAATTTCTTAAATAGTATTAATGATTAGGCTCATTATTTTGATCAATTATACCTATGTTGACAATTTCATGATAAAATTGGGGTGTTAGGGGTTTTGGATTTAAAATTATATCAATGTCAGGCTTTCCCCTTACAAGTTCCACTAGCTGACAGGGGATATTTGCTACTTGCAAGATGAGAGTACATAAAAGAACATGTTTTTAGCAGTCTAAACCCATTCTGCATTAACCTAATGAATAGTTAATGTTTAATTTTATGTGTTTGCTTTCACACATTTTAATTTTTTAATTAATAAGCCAAATTATCTTTAAAAAATGTATATTTTTAAAATATACCTGTATATAAAATATATTTTTTTAATGTAAATATTTTTTATTTTAAAATATGTAAAATAAATTTTCTTAATAACGTTTTACATGATTTTATAATTTAATTATTAAGTTAGATTTTATTCGTCTTATAAATTATAAAACCCTTAGGTTTAGCAGCTAGTACATTTATAGTTCCAGTGTCAGCTACTGGGACAACTGACAGTCAGAGTCAGCTTGGTACAAGCACTTTTTTCACTGTCAGCCACTGGAACACGTACAAAGGTTGAATTAAGCTTAAAAATGTTATAAAATATATTCAAAAAACCCTTTTTGTATGACAAATTTGAAAACTACACTAAATTTAGAATCACATAAAATCCGTAATATCTCTTTAGTTCCTATTTATTCAAAACCACGGATTATTAAGTGCGTATAGTTTCTTATACTGTCGGCTACTGGTGCGTTTACCTTATTGGCTAAGTACTAACGTACTAATACCACAATACTGTCAACCGTGTATTTGCCATTGCCATTGCCCCCCTCGTTTCCGCTTCCTCCTTCCGACTTCCACTGAGTCCAAGAGTCAAGACAAGAACTGAACATGAACAAGAAGTTCAGTTCAGTTTTCTTCACGTTTTCTTAGTTCCATCTCCACTCCTTCACTCACTCCATCCATCGGCATCATCCACCACTCATCCGATCCGATCCAGTTGACCAGTTGTTGGTTGTTGGTTGGATTAGGGTTCGTGTTTTGGTTATGTCGTTTGTTGTTAAATATTACGTTTGTTAATTGTTAGTTTAGTAATATCTGTATTCTGTGCAATCTCAGTGTCAGCGATAAACTTAGTACCGGCATTGTGAAAGTATATCACTAAGTTTAATTATTTATTTGTTCGATAACTCAATAAGTTAGTTCGTGGAATCGAATGACAACATAACAATGATGATGTAGCCTAGGGTAGGCCTAATGGTAAGGTTAAACAGAGAGTATTCTTTGGCTAATACAACATGAACATGCTGAAAACCTTACCGGCTTTTAATTTAATTGAAGCCAGAAAGTAGGTTTTTTTTTGCCAATAGTAGGTGTCCACCACATAGGCCTATCCTTCTTTGGTAGACACATAACACTTGTAGCAACTTAGACCCTAACTTGCTCGCCATCAAGTTACTCCTTAACCCTCCGAGTGTCCCTTGTTTTGGCCTTAATGTCTGCCTATTTTTTGCTCATTTGCAAGGTTTGGCTGCACTTTACTTGACGTCCTACACTCATTCGATTGTTTTTCGATTCAATATTTTCATTCGATTGTTTCATTCGATATATCGTTTGGTTAGTTAGGTTAGGTTAACCTTACCTAACTAACCAAACGATATATCGAATGAAGCAATCGATTAATCGATATATCGATCGATATTTTAATTCGAATGTGTGTAGGACGTCAAGTAAAGTGCAGCCCAAGGTTTTATTAAAACGGATCTGAGAAGCTTGAAAACAATGTTAATTATACTGTTCTTTAAACCATTTTGTTTGGAAAATCATGGGCTTCAATATTATACATAAAACATAAGGAACATTTGTTTCAACAAAATTTTTTAGGTAAAAAAAAAATATTTTGGAAAATTTTCAACAAAAAAATAAGTTCGCGCTCAATGAAATTGTTTACTTAAATTATAGGCCTATAAATATTTGAAAATAAGGAAGTAGATTTGCAAATAAATAAGTTATGGGCTAAAAACAGATTTCAGTACATAGCGTTTAGCTAAGAATGCATAGCCTAACCATAGCTAGGAATCTGGCTGATAATTTACATCAATATCACTAGGCCTACCTACTTCTTCAGGATCATCAACCAGCCCTTCAAAATCACTTAAATCTTCTTTTAATGCACCACGTATATCACTACTTTTGATTTTTAACACTACAACAATGATAAACGTAATAAAACACATCAGTCATCGGTCCGAGGTTAACCAAGCTGTTTACAAATACGCACGTCAGCTGTCTGCTACAATATTTTCGGAACTAAAATGAAAAGCGCTTAGAGACAGACCTCCGGAGAAAGCTCTGAATCTGTCAAATAAAACGATACCTAACTCAATCCAGTTCAATCCGATTTTGTCAGTCATAGAGCCTTCGCCGTAAACAGTGTTTGTGAGTTGCTGCAGCGACACAAAACACTACACAAAGTGTATTATAACACTCAGAGGGTTAATTGTCTGTTACAATTTATGTACCCATTCATAGGTTGTACTGATTAGGCCTAATAGCCCAGTCAACAAAGCTCGAAATATATCCCTCAGCAGGAAAAAATCGTGTAGGCCTAATCCTGGATTTTTGCACAGTTGTAGGGAAGACCCTCCTGAACAACATAGGTTACCGGTACTAAAAATCCTGACCAGTGGGGTGTGTTGTGTGTTATGGTGGGAGGGGGGTGTAAATGCTCATTTTTTTAGTTTTCTGTAAATATCTCAAAAACGGCGCTCTCTAGTGGAAAAATGTAAATGTACAAAATAAAGAGCATTAAATTTCCAACAAAAAAGGTCTTATTCATTTTGTTCCTAAATCAATAAGTTACTTAACAAGATACATGGGGCATAAAAAGTAAAACGTTTAGAAAAACTAGTTTTGTTGTGGTGAAGTGATAATTTTATATTAGCCTACATCGAGTGATATGAACTGATAATAAATGTAGTAAATTCTCGTATATGCAGTAGGCCTACAGCTGTAGTAAAAAGTTTGGGAGGAAGGCCGGGGGTGGTAGCTGAGAGACCAACCTGTGGTAGCCATAATAACATACTGTACGGTATTGTAACTAAAATAGCCTAAACTTGCAGGAAAATTTGTTACACCTGTCTTCTGGGCTCATTCTTGTAATGTATAGGCATAATACTTAATAATAATATATGAATATTTGTCAAAAATGTTTACTTTTTATTAGTTAACCACTTAGATTCACAAGAGACCATCCAAATGTTGTTGATTTATTAATAGGTATTATTATTATTTTTTAAATATATAAAGGGCTTTAAAGCAACAAACTTTTAAGTATAAGCTTAGCCTATTGATTTAAACTGTAAAATGTAAACGTGAAGAATGGCGATGACATGTTTGATTTGTGACAGTGTTGTGGTTGACACTTATTATGAGGTTGGTCAAAAAGGGATACTAGGATTATTGAATGCAAAATTTATATAAAGGACTAGCTGACCCGGCGAACTTCGTATCGCCTAAGTTATAGGTTTCTCCTAAGACAGACCGATGGAAAGAAAGTACCGTTACGTTTAATTTTCAAGATGATCTCGTTCGCATCGCTCAATCACGTCCTGGTTGAAGTTCGTTCGCTACGCTCACTCACCTTTGGGTTGGAGCTCGTTCGCTGCGCTCACTTGCCTTCAGGTTAGCTCGTTCGCTACACTAACTCGCCTCCAGGTTGAAGTTCGTTCGCTACGCTCACTCACCTTTTGGTTGCAAATTAGCTGTTGTCATAAATGTAAAAGAAATAATAGTGCTGCACCCTGTTGGTAATCCTTGTAACTTTAATGCTATTGAACATCATAGAACAGAACCAACTTGTTTAATTGAAACAGCTGTTAAGATTCGTTAATTCCATTTCTCATAAGGTTAACATGGGAAACTCCAGAGCCACTGGGGCAGAGCCTTTTTAAGAATTTCGAAACGGGAAATAGTTTACGTCCGATTCGCATACCTACAGAATTTACACACCAAATTTCATAACGATCGGTGAAGTCGTTCCGGAGGAGTTTGCAGACAAACACTGTGACACGAGAATTTTATATATTAGATGGAAAATTTATGCTTCAAGAGACAAGACAAGTGGTTTTGTACATAAATTTTGCAGAAAAATACTTTCTAGGCTGAATGGGGAGACACCATCCTGAGACACATCTGTACAGTTGCCGTCCTGTTCACTGCTGGTGCGATATACCACGAAGATTGCCAGAAAAAAATTGTATAACATCTGAAGGAGCCTCGAGGAAGAGGGGCGGCCTCTTCTAAGTAAATGATGACTGACAGTCAACTTTGAATCAGTTAGGCCTACTTCATTTGCTTGGATCAGTTACTTCAGTAGGATTATTACCCATTAGGTTTCAGGATCAAAACCTACCTTTGAAACAATCAAAGAGAGGATGAAGGACCGCATTAATTTCAGCCAAATAAGCAATAGACTGCTGTGTGCTTTGGTGCTACAGGAGAAAAAAAAATCTTGAATGATTAGTGGTATGTTTCAAAGTTTAAAGATACAGAGTCAGAACAAAAAAGGATTGTCGAAAGCGCAGCCAAAATAATATTGGAAGATATTGAAACAATGGCATATGAAAATTGTGTTTTCCCACCTGCTGACTAATTCAGTAGTAGTGCAGAAGAAATGGTACGGTACTTGAATCACTTTGGGTCTTTATGGAATGAGTAGCAACAAATAAAAGATCAAAACCCAAAGTACCAGTAGAAATAAATTGATTGCCATAACTGCTCTGATCTCTGCGATTTGCCCTCGATCTTTTATTTCTTCTCTCCTACGCAGTGTTGCTCTGTAGGCTAATACACAGAAATTTTTGGTCTAAAAACCATGTTATTTACTTGCGAGTTTGTGGTTCAGTGGAACCTATTATCAGCTCAACAGCTATCACTCCCACTTGTCTACCATCCTTAAGAGCCTGCTCCACAAGAAATATTTTGTCAATACATCTTCGACAATGCCAATTTTAATACGTCAACCATCGATGAATTCAATACTTTCAGAGCATGGGTGGTATAAAGTGTGTTACCCCTGCTTCAGCTCTATCAAAGCCTAGGGAGAACAAGAAAGTCCATGAAGTATCATCTGCCACTGAAGTAGCCCATACAGGGGCCCTAGATCTAAAGACATAGGATGGTTCTACGAATGCGCTTCAACATATTACCTAAGTTATATTACTCTGCTTGACCTGAACGAGATCCACCCACTCCCAGCCGATAGGCTAAATTGACTTCTACAATGGTTACCACTGGTTGGTCTCTCAGCTACCAGCCCCCGGCCTTCCTCCCCCACCTTTTACTACAGCTGTACTTCATATACAAGTATTTACTACATTTATTATCACCCCCTGTATCTCGTTAAGTATTGATTTATGAAGAAAATGAATAAGACCTTTTTGTTGGAAATTTAATGCTCTTTATTTTGTACATTTACATTTTTCCACCAGAAAGCGCCGTTTTTGAGATATTTACAGAAAACTAAAATAATGAGCATAATGAATAATGAGCACCACTGTAGAGGTAGACGTCACTGTTGAAGTAGATGGCCCTGTAGATCTAGACGTCGCTGTAGAGGTAGACGGCAAGGACTTCTCAACTTTTTGCCGGTTGAATGGATGGATTCCGCTTTTGCAGAATGCAGACTCTAAGCGTAGACAGAAATGTTGAAAAGCATTCTTTGGGCAGCCATACCTTAACTGGGTGTGAACATTTAAAGTTCATGAGAATCCTGTGTCAAACCATTTTGAGGGGACCATAAAAACCCACTTACAAAGGCTGGCACAAGTGTGAAGCATTTGCTGGCAGAAAAACGTAATGGATATATACGGTAGAACCTCGATTATCCAGAGTAATCGAGAACCCCCCAGAATGGGGGGGGGGAGGGGGACCAAGAATAACTGAAAACCAAACAACTGGTTAATCCAACATTGCAATAACATATAGGCCTATTACAAACCCATAAAAACGTCTAACGGAATAAATGGACGTTGATATAATAATTAATTTGCATTGCATATCATCATAATACAATTAGCATTGCGCAATTGTGATATGTTAAGTCCTTGGTTCAGTAATAAAAACTGTAATATTTAAAATCTTACTTAGTCAAACCAAACAAAACAAAAATTGCTTAATACTGTTCAGCAATAAATCACTTAAAGAACAGAACAATTAAAAGTCTAGTAAGCTACTGCTACTGTAGTCATCATAGGCTA